CTTAGCCTAGTTCAAATCCTGCCTCACCCTAGGACCTTGGACAAGGTCCCTAATGTTTCTGAGCCTTACATTCTTCTAAAATCTGAGGATCATTTCCAGTATCCCTTTTCTAGTCCTAATCATCTGAAATGGTAGAACCCTGAGTGAGACCAGAGCTTCCGAAAGTATGGCATAAAGGCTCTCTGAGGAATTAAAATCCCCAGGACCTGCCTTAGATTTTATAAGTGAGAAGTTCTGGGTCAGAGGCACCTCAATCTGCACTTTTTCCAAATGCTTCAGATAATTATTGTATGAAATAAATGTAAGAACATACAGTGTGCCCATGAAAGCAGATTTCCAAGAGGGTCTGAATGTCAGGTTCCTTGCCATACACATCATGGTGGTTAACTTCCTCTAAGAAAATTGCTTAGAAGAGAAATAGCTACCTCTTCTGCAGGTCCCATTAGCCTCCAGTAACATAGCATCAATCCCAGATGTGCCTGGGAGTGGGAACAGGAGATTGTGTTACAATTGGAACAGTGGTCACAGTCTCAGGCTGTTCTTGCTCAGAAACTTCTGAAGAGGGGTCTCTAGTACACTTTTATTTTATTTTATTTTATTTTATTTTATTTTATTTTATTTTGAGATGGAGTCTTGCCCAGTCACCCACGCTGGAGTGCAGTGGCACAATCTTGCTCACTGCAACCTCTGCCTCCCAGTTCAAGCGACTCTCCTGTCTCAGCCTCCCGAGTAGCTGGAACTACAGGCGGCTGCCATCGCACCTCGCTAATTTTTGTATTTTTGGTAGACTTGGGGTTTCACCATGTTGGCCAGGCTGCTCTCAAACTCCTCACCTCACATAATCTGCCCACTTTTAGCCTCCCAAGGAATTACAGACATGAGCCACCACACCTGGCCTCTAGTACGCTTTTTATTCAGACTGCATTAGAAGCATAAACTTTCCTGCAGATAGTGTTGTCAGATAAAATACAGAGCATCCTGTTTTCTTGGTTTTGTGGGGTTTTTTGGTTGAATCTGGCAAACTTACTATAAACCCCTATCCCAGCATGTAGCCAAGAAACATAAAAGAAGAAAAAGTAAAGTTTTCCTCCCTTTTTACCCATAGGATGCTTCATGTTTCTGGACTAAACAGAAAAAAATGACCTGAGATGAGAAAAAAATGTATATGAAATAAAACAAGGTCTCTATAGAGCCTGAGTCATGGCTCTAACAGGTGCAAAATACAAGTGAGGCAATGGGAATAATTTTTCGAGAAAGCCATGTTCTCCTTTGCTTTGAGACCTTCCAAAACAATAACTTGATTTGTAAAGTCTTGAACCTCTTAACTTGTTTTGCTCCAGTTAACAACACAGTGACATCAGTGTGTCACAAGTTCAGTGCCAACTAAATTAAATGAACTGTGTATTAACTGCTGATACGGAAGAAGGCTTAGACTGGGTATAAAAATATAGTCAATTTTAGCAACAACCAATGATTCAAAAGAGAAAAAGAATAAAAATCCGAATTCACCAAAGAAAGAAAAAGATTAGAAGTAAGACTGGACTGAGATAAAAGTACAACGTGTGGGGCACAGTCGGCAGCTGGAGCTCACAGTCCAGAGTCTTTAAGGTTTGAGCCGAAAGATGAGTAGACCTGCACGTAGTTCTGTCAATCAAATGGGAAGGAGATTAAGCTGGGACTCCCCGAGAAAATACAGATGGGTTCCATATGGAAGACAGTCGTTCTTCCTATAGTCCTGGAGGTCCTAGTTCCCCAATTCCTCAATACATTTATTTGAGCATCTACTGTGTGCCTAAAGTTGTGAGTATCCCTGTCTTGGAGAAGTTCCTGATCTAACTAGGCAGGAAAGACATGCATGCTTGAAATTATTAGAGATGAAACCAACTATAGCTATGAAACAAAAGGGGAGAAATCCACATGAGCTTAAAGTGTCAGCAAATCTGATTGTGGAGGCAAAATTTGGGATTAGTCTTGATGCGTGTGAGAATGAAGGATTACAATATTTGGAGGTGAGAAATGAGTAAATGGGAAGTCTCAGGAATGAGGGTACCATGCTGAAGGAAGGGAGATGAGCAGAGGCATGTGCTCAGAGCCATGTTGGAGGAGGGGCTGACAATGCAGCCCCTGGCAGCTCTATCTGGCTCCCCTGTCATCCGCATTTTCTTGCCTGGGACAAGTGGTTCCAAGGAGGAGGGTCACAGTGCCCAGGATCCCCCTGCAAGGTAGGCCAAGCCCCTTTTAGATTCATGGATTATTCGGCCTTTGAACTGCCCCAGGACCCTGACCCCAGAGACAGAGATGGTGATAAAGTTTGGAATGCCATGAGACAGTTGGTCCTCTGACTTGGGGTCAGTGCACCTCTCTGAGTACTGCAGACATAGGATCTCCTCTCATAAATTACATGGGATTAGAAGAGGCTTTCATCTGGTGCCCAGATGCACTCATATTTGCTTTCACCCTTTTCAGCGGAACCCCAGGTCAATCTTCCATAGGGGAAGCTTTTTTGAGCTAAAGGGGATTTTATTTTTATAAGATTGAGACTGAATGAAGAGGGCAAGGCTTACCTCAGCGAACAGCAAATGGTAGAACTTTAGGCAATAGCAGTGGAAATATTAAGCTTAGATAAAGTAATCCATTATCTAAGGGCGTCTGAAAAGTACCTGGGGGGCATCACTTACTTAAGGCACTCTCTGTCACTTAGATCTACCCAACAACTATGAAAAAGAATCATCTCTCTAAAGATGGTTAGAGGAGTAGAAATTATATACTAAATGAATATCATTTAGTGGCATGGACATACTATCCACTGAGGCCCCTGGTTAGTGTTTTTCTTCATGGCTGCCATCCAAAGGCCTAGAGAGCAAGAAGCACAGTCTTCCACGTAAAAGGAGTTCATTCTAGATAATAATATTTACCTTACTTTGAAAGACCTATTCATTTTTATTTAACAACCCCTTATGAAATGCTTACTATGTGCTGTTTTGTGTGTGTTTTAGCACTTGCTGAGGAAAGAAAGACAGAGAGAAAGAGAGCAAGAGCAACCAAGAAAATAAGCAAGGGGGAGAGACAGAGGAAGAGACACAGACAGAGAAAGTTACCTAAGGAGTGATTCTGGAAACTTGGTGGGTATAAGAAGCACTGGGAAGGTTTTTGGAAATGCAAACTCCTGACCCCACCACTCAAAGATTCTGATTCAATGTATCTCGGAGTAAGTACATGAATTAGTGTTTTAGTAAGTGACCCAGTGAATTTGGCTACAGGGGGTCCCTGACCACACTGAGAATCATTGCACAGACAATAACAGGATGTGGAGGTCAAAAATAGGAAACCAAGCGGGCTGAGGCTATACATTGGTTAACCAAGAATTACAGAAGGCTTAGTGTGCCAGGCCCAGGTCTGCCAGCTGATAGTAACATAGGACACAGGTGTGTTTTCCCCACATTTGCAAAATAGTTCATTTGGAAGCCACAAGGAAAAGCTCTACTTGTCAAGAAGGCAGATCAAAATGGCAGCAAGGGGCCCAGTTGGCAACATTGGAGTTGCCATGACAACTACAATGCCTGTGAGAGTTGAGCTGAGAAAAAAGTGGGTAAGAAAGAGGAGGTGAAGAACCTATGTTAAGCAGCATGCCCTGTGATTTGTAAAGGACTGCTATGTCTGTGTTAACCCACATTATATCCCATATAGTGGTGAAGAAATCAAAAGAAAGAGGATGGATACCTTCCAAGAATGACTCGCAGGTAATGGGCTGGTGCAAAGCTGACCCAAGAAGCATTATTTTTCAAAACAATTATTTGTGGTTTTTCAATTTGTTTCCAGTATTTCTAATATTGGAGACTCCACCAACTACTGAATGAATGAATCAAAAATTTAGACACAATACTCAAATGTAAGGATGATAAAGACAACTCTGAAAAACGACCACCACAGATTTTTATTTAATTAAAAATATTATACATGTTGTTGCATTTTCATGGAAAATATTGAGTTAAAAACACCAGCAGTGTTGGTTTTCAGAAACCTTCATGCACCCCATTCTGCCACCTGCTGCTTTCTTCTGTCCATGGCATTAACCACATGTTTATAAGAATTGGGGCCATCAAACTGGAGCTTCCTAGAAGGTTATAGCTACAGGTCTCCTGGAGTGAGCCATTGTCTTCAAGACAGTGTCTCAGGTCAACTCAAATACCACCAGCTGTAGCTTCCTTGCAAACCATTGAAAGGAACTGGTGGAAAAGCCCCAAAGCACATGTCAACGCCAACTCAGCATAATTCCGTGCAATCAAGCACTGCTATGGCCTCATCCAGTTTCCAAGCCAGTTAGCAAATGACCTTATATTCTACCTCGCGTATTAGTGTCCTGAGCTCCTCTGCAAAACTTCCCTGAGACCCATGGTGGAAAGACACTGCCATATAGTGTTTATATTCAAACCATTAACAAATACACAAAAACATATGTGGCTCCATGCACAATACTATCAAATTCAAAATATATGTGTATACATACGAAATACAACCTTTGGCATCACTGACTAAAACATAGCCATGTGAGTATTTTTGAAGCCATAATATAATTATACATTTAACTTGAAAAGATTATTTTAGCCATAAACGTCTCACATGTAAATATAAGGTGTGTACAATACAGTCCTCTCCCTCAGTTCCTGCCTCTTCTTTCTTTGGACTATGCCATTCCCTAACTTAATTCCTTGACCCCACATCATAATGCTGCATCCCCATATTAATCCCAAGTGATGCTTTCACTAAAAGTGGAGCTGATGTGACAGAAATATCCCAGCTCTGTCTCTCTGCTCCTTTGCTTTAAATTGTAGTACATGTAATTTGGGTTCTGCATCCAGCTTTATATTAAAGAGAGATGAACTCCCCCCAAATATACAAAAAAGTTAGAATTGGCTCAGCTCTTGGAAATTGAAATATGGCCTCTCTTCTTTATAATGGTTTCTCAATTGATGGGAATAAAATAAGGCTGAAATTGCTTTTCACATTCTGGCTCTGTTGGGGGCATTTTCACATAGACCCCTGTTGTAAGAGGGCTTCTTTTCTTTAGCTGTCAAACACAAAAAGAAACAGTAATTACTGTTGAGGAATACAGAAACCGCTTCTAACCATAGTAGAACTCAACACATATTGGGTTAAAAATGAATGTTCACAGCATAGAAAATTATAAACCTCAGGAGATTTTCTTGATTCAGCTATTAACATTTATTTTACATGAATAACTGATTTTGATGTTAAATGGCAATAATTTGCCTTGACCGGAAGTTAGGGAAAAGTGGCTTTGAGAAAGCTTCACAAAGAACACCCAGAAAGCCTATGGTAATCGACTGATCTGGTCTGCAAGGGAACAAGCCTGATAAGGTAAGAAGCTTTAGTTTTCCCGTTTGAGAGCTGTGTTTTTCATCTCCACTGCTGAACCTACAGCAAAGGACATGTCTGTCAGGTTGGGTAAAGGATGTTGGAATAGAGTGTATCTTTGTGTGTGTGTGTAAGAGACAGAGAGTGAGAAACAGAAAGAGAGAAAGAGCGAGAAGAAGGAAGACGAAGAGAAGAAGGGAGGGAGGGAGAATGCTGAATTTGTAATGGCAAAGCCAGCCTCAGGCAGAGGTGCCTGAAAGGGACTGTCAAAAAGAAATCCTGGCAGGAGGCCTGATTCCATACTTCACCTCTTCCACCTCCAACACCTGTAGTAAATAGAAACTGGGACTTTCATTTCCTGGCTGAAGGGGAAGGCAAGCCTTCCCAGTCAAGCAAACTGGATAATAGGGATATGTGTTATGTGAGCAGCTACAGCTTGGACAAGGAAGGCACCAGAGTGGCACCAAGAGATGATTCCCAGGTGATGGAGAGGGACATGAAGAAGGAGAGTAAAGACTATCCGGGCAGTCCTCTCTAGCAGCATTCTGCCCAACCTAATCTCGTGTTTCAGGGCTGTTAGCTTAAGTACAATTGTCATGAAGACAAAGAGCAAAACAGCTGCCCCATGTTGTTGCAATGGTTACTCAAATTGAAACCCTGCTCAGAAGCACACGAACATTCGATATCAAACAAATTCATCTAAAATATTAGTCATTCTGAAACCTCAAAGGCCAATGCCTACGGTTCTAGTGTGTTCTTTATCACTGGCCTTCTTCCTCTTCATTTATTGCCTCATCTCAAGAACACTAAACTCAGCACCATCATTTGGTCAGTTGATACCGCTAAAGGTATCCCCATCAGAAATGGTCCACTGTTGACATCACACTCACCATTTTGCTCAAAGAAACAGCTGTGAGGAGAAAGCTATAAAAAAACAACCCCGAACTAACTGCTGCAAGGATCCAGAGGAGGAAGTCAGAATCTGGGCACGGTTCTGGATCTGGAACAGAAAACAAAGCAGAGCCTCCCTGAGACAGTTTTCAACTCTGAGGCTCTACTCCCTCACATTGGTGAAAAAAGAAAGTTAGAGCTTCCAGGCCTTGAGGACCACCCCAAAACTGCATGGGTAGCCCACCAATAGGTTTGGCTATCTGAGATTTCTTCCCCAGGAGCAGCACATCATCTCAAAAGCACAGGTCAAACGCCATGATGGTTAGCACTCCAGAGCTAGCGCCCCAACTTCCCCAAATCATTTTATTGTATAGTCAGAATGCTCTTAAGGTTGCCACCCATAACAAGCAAGGCTATCGTGTGGTAGTAAGCTCTTAAAGAGAATTTCCACTGTCCTAAAAATAAACCACCTGAAATTAAGGAACAAAACCGTTTTTACACATAGAAGACAGCAATGCAGCAGGTGTCAACTCAGTGAAATGGCTTTGCTCACCAATTACATAAATCTGGGTTCCGTTGCCTACGCTCATGTAGTATGGCGGCGGGTACATGAGCTCCACCTTGCAGATGTAGAGCCCCATGTCCATGGCCCTCAGTCCTTGGATGGTGAGGTTCACTTTATTTCCACTGAAGGTGCCCGTGCAGATGGAATCATCCAGGAAGGTCAACTCATTCCCCATTATGTATGTTCCTGCACAGACTTCAGTCACCTGGCTGTCAGTCTGCCGAAGCACTGTCACCCGGATCTCAGTGGCTTTGCCTGGAGACGCATACTCACACACAAAGCTGGCGATGCCTCGGCTGCTGGCTAGCACCACAGCAGGCTGGGCCACGTGCATTGCTAGCATGGAAAAGCCAAAGGGAATTCAGTTAACTCATGCTTCTCTGTGGCCAAGCCCAGGCAAGCCCTTTAGCCTTCTAGCTTCACCCCCATGCCCTTCTCTCCCTCTTCAACAAATCCATCACCTATCCCTTCCCCTATCCACACCCTACCCACACCCCCAGCCTCCCCTCCCTCTCTCAACTGTTTTCCAGCTACTCTCCATAAAGATGTTTTCTTACTGGGAAATGGATTCTTCAAGATAGTTGTGGCAGGAAGAACACTGATATGACAAACAAAAGACCTGGATCAACCATGAAATATGTGACTTGGGGCAAGTCACACTTCCCTCATGTCCTTCATTTTTCTCACATACAGTAAGAGACAGTGAGATGAGATGATATCAACTGGTGTTTGAAGGTTATGACAGAACAATAGGAACTATATAGTTCCGGAACTATGAGTGGTAGGGGAAATTCTGAAGCTTGAAGTACAGAATCTTGCTTTATCTCTCCAAGCATATGTCAAAAACCTCTGCCTATTTATTGAGCTTAGCACCCAGAAGTAGCTGTGTCTTGAAGCACTGTACCAGCCTCCACCTTCCTTGGCATTGTTGTAGAGTGGAAGATGTTGTTAGATGAAGGAAGCCACAGAGCCGAGGGCACCGGGTCGTTTCCTCTCCAGGTTGAGGCAACCCTGCTGTTAACTCCCTTGGGCTTCCCCTGACACCACTGCCGCCTTTCTGCCCTTTCTTTCTCCTTCACTTGAACACTCCCATGCTCCTTTGTTCTCTCTTCCCACTGGGTTCTACAGCATAAAGATGAGCTATCCATGCAGAGAGGCTTGCATCAATTCAAAAACAGTGGCTGTGTGCCAAATTATCTTCCTGTAACTAACCTGGCCCCTCTCCAGTCAATCTGACAAGTGAAACCCAAAACTTGTGTTGCATGATGTCACTCACCTGCTCAACCCCTTTGACACTTTACTAACACTGATTGCAAAAACGAACTAAATAAATAACATTCAATGAGTCCTCCAGATTCCAATTCCAATCTGTCACTCCAGCAGAATTTCTAGGTCACACTTTTCTGCTTATAAAAATTACCCTATATTAGACACACTAGTCTCTTCTGCCAAGCTGCCTGTACTGGACATCCATCCTCAGAAGAGAAAACAGTTTGGCAGCAGCCATTGGCATGTCTATTCCAGCAGCCGTGGCTAGCTAGACTATAGTCTCCTTCCCTAACCCTTGCCTCTGCCTATCAGAGATGCCCTCTGATCATCCATAGCACTGTGATAACTCCACTGCAGTACTTCATTACCTTCTGCCCTGTATTAAAGTTATTTGTGAATTAATCATATCTCCCTACTCTTTTACTTGTGGTTCATGAACTCCTGCGAGCAATGATTATATCCCACCCAAGTGGACACTCAATAATCTTTATTGTATTGACTCTAAGCTTTAAAAATCCTAAATGTCCTGCCCTCTCCCCAGCCAAGTTCACACTTATCACCACTAAATGTGGTCACACTCAGCTTTCCAGTATCTGTCATGAGAGGGTCCTGGTTACTGGCTAAGATAAATTTATTTTAGGAAATTTAAATACTTCTAAGAGTATTTATTTAATCTTTACATATTTAAAACTTGTAAATTTAAATAGTCCTGAGTATTATTTAATCTTTACATATTTAAAACATGTAAAAATAAGAAAACATGTGAATATTTCTTCTCCAGTAGAAATTAAATCGTCAAATATCTTTTGAGCACCTACTTCATACAAACCACATTGGTTTCTTAATCAAGAAAGTCTAGAGAGAGATAAGATTGACATTCAATGGAAGTGCTCATCATTTTAAGCCATGTAACAAACCTGGTATCAGTCTCTGAAGAGCTGAAAACTGAGGAGCTGCATCTGAAGCCCACATGTAGGTCAGGCAATAATTAACTGTCATATGCCAAACAGACTTTCTTTCCTCCTTCCTCCTTTTTTTTTGGCAATTTCAAACTTTTGTTTTTAAATAATTGACTCATTAGTTTGTAGAATTGATTAAGAGAACCTTAAAATCTTGAATTGAGTAAAGAAGCCATTCTTCCCACGATTTCCCTAAATTTTAAACAAGCTGGCTAATTCGTTTATAAAGCATATGAATCCAAGGACCTTAAAACCTTGAATTGTATGGGAAAGAAACTCTTCCCAGGATTTGCTGAAAGTCAATTGTTGTTTTTTAGGTTTTTTTTATTTAGTTTGGTTTGGTTTGAAAAAAAAAAAAAAAAGGAACTTGTGAGCTCATCCTGAAACCCAGCTCAAATGTATTCAGGACTGTGGATATCCTTTTCCTCTTAATCACTTCCAGTCGCATAGAAGGGTCTGAAATTGCCTGTGTCTCCTAAACCAACTCTCATGAATTCATGAAGTCCTTGCTAAATACCTGGCACTCTGCTCTGAGCTGTGTCTTTGCTTATTTGCTGCTGCCCAACTGTTCCCTGCTGGCCCTGGAATACAAAGCCAGCCAAGCCAGACTGGAGTTTTACCTTTAATTTCTGGCTTTGCTATAAATCACTGCCCTTGACTGCTGAAAGAAATGAAACCCAGGTGGGAGAAACACCTCCTCCATCTTCATGATCCAAAAGTCTCACTCACCGTTGGAGAAGACAGGGATGAAGAGAAGAGAAAACAGGAGCTTGCAGGGCCAGGTCCTGGGAGCCAGATCCAGCTGAGCCTTGTGCCTCTGAAATCCAAGGCAAGCCATGGCTTTATGGGAGCGGTGTTCAGGTCTTGAGGAAGTAGAGCGAAACCTTTCAGGATCCTGAAGCTTTGAAATCTGTTTGAACCCACACAGAATCAAGGACTTTATATAGACAGCTTTGATCCCGGGTATGTATTACACATGTGCACACACAGAAGGCACTTGAATAGAAAGCCTTTTTGTTTTGGTTTTACGAGAAAGGAAGCCGTAGGTTAGCTGTTACGTCGACAAGACAACTTCAAGCACTCAACTGAGCAAAACAAGTCAATCCATGGATGGAAAATGTACTCAATTTGAAACTGGAGCTTCATGTTCACTCTGAGGGTCTGGATAACTAAGAGGAGACTTGGAGAATTTCCTGGAGTACAAGGGTCCTCCTAAATCCCAATTTTATTCAATCTTCTGGGCATCCTTAACCACCCAATTCATTTCATTGACATATCCTGAACTGCTAGGCTGCTAGCTTTCTGAGCCCTTGAGCTAATGGCAGGATTTATATGTAGGCATCATTAATAAAAACTGTATTCTATCTGTGAGGCACCATCCTTCTAATGGTCCCTTGACATGCTTTACAAATAAGTTTATTTCTCCTAACTCCATTTAGTATTTGGTTAAGAGAAAATACCAAAATCACAAGGAATAAACTGAAAATAGGCAGAAAAAAAATGTTCCTCTGGTTTTGCAGAAGGAAAGAATTCAGATATTCTTAAAAGCCTTAACAGAGACAAAACGTTGAAGAAGATCCAAAGAAAAGTCTACCAAAATGATTAAGAGATTAGAGCCTTCCATAAGAGGATAGGCTTTTTTTCCTCATAGAAATTTTTCAAGCAGAAAATTCAAAATTGAAGGTTAACTACAACCAGAGTTCTTAAATTTGCGACAGCTGTAGACAGGATCAATGATCTAACAAAAAGAATTTGAAACATTGAGGACCATCCTTAAATCTGGAGAGTTTTCATGCATTTTAATAAAGAAAGAAACATTTATGGAGAGCCTATCATATGCCAGGAATTGTGTACACTTAGGATTGATTGATGACAAGACAAAAACATAGTTGATGCCTTAAGGAGTTTCTAGAAGGCTGACATGCAAACAGACAGTTGCAGAAGGGAATATGGCACTTGCCTAACTCCAGCCCGTCCATGCTTTCCCATTGTCCACACCTCAGCACAGCAAAGGAGTCTCTGAAGAATACTCACCAAATTCCTCCCTCTTTGGCCTGTCCCCCAGCATTCCCTCCCATGCCCCCTCTTCCTGCATTTCTCTTTCCTTCCACATGCCACTTTCAGGTCTCATCACCTTTACCCATGCTGTTCCTACTGCCTTATTTCTCCTATTATCTTATTTTATCCTCCGGGACTTAGCTCAGCTGTCACCTCCTCCAGGAAGCCTCTTCTGACCTGCTTGTTTTCTATACTCCACTACACCTTATAGAAACCTTTAAACCCAAGCTCAAATGCTGACAAACAATAGCAACCTAATGGGCACTTACTAATGCCAGACTGGGCACCAGAGATTTTCTAAAAGGGAAAAACAAATGTTCCTGCCCTCAAGAGGAACACACAGTAGTGGCAAGGACAGACAGCCAAACGCACAATCATGTTACAGTGAGATCAATGCTAGAATTGATGTGTTATGTAGAGGAGCAGAAGCCAGTGGTTCAGCCTATGGAAGTCAGAAAGGACTTCTCAGAGGGAGAAAAGCTTGAACTTATTATTGAGGACAGGGAAAAGGGTGGAGATTCAGACAAGAAGAACAGCATGCGCAAAAGTTGGAAATGGCATGAAAAGCTCATTATGGTCAAAGAACAAGCTTGTCTGGGGATGGGCGGAAGGCGCAAGCTGGCACTCTTAGCAGCAAGAGCCAATGAAACATAAGGAGCAAATTGGTGTGACTGAGTTCGCATTTTGGGGAAATTTAAGGGATGGGGAGGATAGGTTCAGGGACAAATGTAACCAGGAGAACTGGGAAGAAGACTATTGGAATATCCTAGGCACCAGGATTTGGAAAACTTTCTGTAGGGGGCAAAATAGTAAATATATTATGATTTGCCAACAATAATGGTCTCTGTTGCCACTACTCACCTCTGTCATTTTAGAATGAAAGCAGCCATCTATTATATGTAAACAAATGGGTGTGTGTGCCCTCCAATAAAATTTCATTTACGAAAATAGGTGAAGTCTGGGTTTGGCCTGTGGGCCCTGGTTTGCCAACCCCTGGTCTAAACTAAGGTATTGCAGCTATGAAGGCAAGGTCTCTATGAGACTAGGCCACATTCAGTGAGTGGAGGGAGAATTTTAGAATGACACCACAACTATGGTTTCAGAAGTACTGTGGTGCTGCAGAAATTGTTCAGATGTCAAGTTTTGTTTCTTTCAAGTCTTATAACAATCCTACAAGACAGGAGTTGTCATTTTTCCCATTTTATAAAGAAGGAAACCAAAGCATTGAAAGTTAAGGTGACTTATCCAATCACCCATAGCAGGTGGTAGTGCCAGGATTTGAAGCCAGTGATAATCTTTATCACTACACTAAAGCAAAAATTTTGAAATCCAAGTTAACTGGATTTGCATCCTGGCGTGAAGACATGCTTGTTGTTGACCTGTGGCTCCACCCAATGTCCTCCAGGTAATGGCATCTACTTCTCAATATTATTGAAAAGATTAAATAAGATAATTCACGTATAAAAGGCCTATTGTAAGGCCGGGCACGGTGGCTCACGCCTGTAATCCCAGCACTTTGGGAGGCCGAGGCGGGTAGATCACGAGGTCAAGAGATCGAGACTATCCTGGTCAAAATGGCGAAACCCCATCTCTACTAAAAATACAAAAAATTAGCTGGGCATGGTGGCGCGTGCCTGTAATCCCAGCTACTCAGGAGGCTGAGGCAGGA